CGCCCAGATGCAAGGACCTCAGTTTGTCCATCTGTATCAAAGCGGCCTCACAGAGCTATGGGGAGGTCTCATGAGGTCATGGTCTGAACGGTCTTTGTTGGCGGGTGGATGAGAGGCTGTGGCACCTGGTAGGTATTGTGATCATCTTCTTGGCAGGTTCTGGATGATGCTACCAAAGCCGTAGAAACAACTCTGGGACTGCATAAGCCATTTCAAAGATAATGACTTTATCTCTCCCTAGTCCAGGGTTCAAAAATTGCAATCGGACACAGTGGGAGCAGCTACCCACAGGCCACACTGTGTCTGAGATCTTGAATCTCTGGGGTGCAGCCATAGATGAGGAACTGCCTGGCTTCAATATGCTGGCTATGTGACCTTGGGCATATTACTTAGCCTCCTTGAGTCCCACTGTCCTCATTGGAAATGAAGATTTAAAATAAGACCTGCCTATTGTTTTCATTAGAATTTATGCCAAGCACATAGAGAATGTTCAAGACGAAATGTGGAGAATGTAATCAGTGGCCATTGATTTTCCTGTGTTTGGTTCCCAGGGTGCACCAGGAGACTTTGGCCCGAGGGTAAGAATGGAGCACGACCTCCCTCATCCACTACACATGGTTTGTTTAATATTGTTATAATAAGGCATTTCTAGCATTTCTTCGGGAGTCCCAGAACACCACAGCTTACCCCAGAAAAAAGGCGAGCGAGACAGCCCTTCCTCCCCACTTTTGTACCCCCCACCCCGTGGGAACCCCCAGGTATCCTCATCCCACTGAGGCTGTTACCTCCCACACAAATAACAGTTATCTGGCGGATATCCTGGTTGTCATGCTCGTCACCATGGTAACCAGACAGTGGGGTTAGCCCTGGTCCCAACCAGATGCCGACCATGTCACAAGACAGCTGACACTCAGGAAAAGTGAAGGTCCTGAGGTCAGCCCTGTCACCTCCCAGACTCACGACTTTAACAAGTCACTTTTCCCAGAGATTCAGACCCAGATTCCCACAGATTCAGCGCTATGAAGATTCATTATAACCATAAGTGTCAATAATTGACAGCAGCACTCAGCATGGGGACAGGAGACAGGTGCCCCTTCAGCCCACCTGTGTCCCCTGGGTCCAGGAACCAATAAGTGTTTGTAGTGAATCTTAGGTGGTCCCTAAAAGTGGGTCTTGGCTGAGGAGCACTTGAGTAGCCCTAGTCAAGCTGTCCTTACCATTTCTGAAATTTTCTGGGCAGAGTACCCTGACTGCAGGAACTAAGAGGTAGGCATTAGCTGCCCAGAGAAAGACTGGGTCACGTGGAAAAAGGTTTTGAGCCCCAGAACATATTGCACAAAGGTCACTCACTCACACCAACAGTCTGCCATCTTAGGGCGGGACTGGGTGGAGAAGGAGTGAGCTGCTTGGACCCAGAGCACACCATCTATGGCAGATGAAGAGAGGGAGGGAGAAAGGGCGGAACATACAGGCTGGGGCTTTGTGGTCAGGCTGGGCAAGTAAGACCCAGCTCTGCATATTCAAGGCTCAGAACCCAGGGTTTATAAAATGACAGCAGTGGGGTCCACAGGGTGTTGATGGCGATAACAAAAACTGGAACAGGCAGGGGCATGAGACAGACTAAGTTTTGATAGGCAGAGCTGTCTCTTGTTGGGCCACTGACAGAGGTCAGGACCAAAGCCACAGAGGTGGTGAGAGGTCTCTGAAGTCAAAGAAAGGATATTTGCATTACTCTGTGGCTGCTGGGGAAATACTGGTTTCAGATGGGATTTGTGAAAGTTAATCTTCCTGATAGGGTTGCCCATCCTGCAACAACCAGGATCCATCTGGTCCTAAGTTCACCAAATAGAGCATTTCTTCCAAAGTTCCTTGCCTTCCCAGGAATAGCCTGCCTCCTGTCATGGTATCCAGCCATCTAATAACTAACTCCCCTCCCCACAGAAAGGCTTTGTGGCTTGAAAGGACAATTCATCCTTCTTTCTCATGGTCCCTGGAGTTAACTAACATCTCTCTTATGGTTGCAGGCAGAGTGTTCTGGGGGCCCAGGTGATGATGCCCCCCCACAAGGTTATTGTTGATGTGTCTGTTCCCACTCAGCTAGGAAGCAGCCACGTGTGGCTTCCCATGCATCCTGGGGTTTCCTCCCAATTTGGCAGTGGGTTCTTAGGCTTCTGGGAGCAGCTTTCTAAGAAGCCAGAAGTAACTGCTACCACACCTGTTAGGAGCTCCACCCAGTATGGTCCTAGTATCACACTTACTGCATGCTACTCCTGTTCTGTTCTGTTCTGTTCTGTTTTCTGTTCTGTTGTTCTGTTTTCTGTCCTGTTCTGTTACAGGAGGTGGAGAAATGGGTATTGGTCTGTTCAGCATACCCAGCCACAGACTGTCTTTCTCTGGGCTGCATTAGGTGACTTTACCTTGCGATTTTTGCAGTCCTCTCCTACTTTCTGACCACACTACCTGTTTGCCATCTAGATGGTTTTCCCACGGCTCAACGCAGGTTTTATAAGTAGAGATCATCGTGGGTACAATCTCCATGTCCTCAAGGTAGATTAGCTGAGTGAGGGGGCCTGGCCTGCTAGTTTGCTGTGCTCCTCAACCCTTACTCATCCTATGTTTTCAGGGCCAGACCTCAGCCATCCAATCCTGGAGAGAGGGGGGAAATGGTTAGGGGAAGAAAATAAAGTGGTACACACCTTACTCCAAGTAGCAGGAGGCAGAGCAGGCAGTACTCTGTGAGTTCAAGGCCAGTCTGGTCTACATAGCAAGCTCTGAACAAGCCAGGGCTAGGTCTACGTAGTGAGACCTTGTCTCAAAAAAACAGAAACAAAAGCCTGTACAAGAGTCAAAACTCCTTTCTGTCTTGGTAAATTGAGTCCAAGCCAGGAGTGCCCAATCTGGAGCCTCAGAGCTATGAGCAAATGAACAGCAGGAGAGAGAATCGAATCCTTCTGGATTCAATACTGAATGAAATAGGAATGTCCACTCATCTTGCCTGAGATCAGATGACCTAATGGCAATACTAATTTGGGGTCTAGACTTATAGCTCTTTGATCAGGGCCCTGGCCATGCCATACTGAGCAGGAAACCTGAGTGGTAGCCATAGAGAGCTGCCAGACATTTATTGAGAAATTGAGTGTGACATGTAGTTTGCTAGAGAGGTGAGCTCTTTCCTGGTAAGGGGAGGAGACACAGATTGAAAATAATATCTGAAAAAGACCAGTTGCAGTTCTGGCCTGAGGTCCAAATCCCTAGAACTGAAACAATGTGCCCAGTGGGTATGGCAGCCCGCCTGTAATTCCTGCTTTCGAAGGCAGAGAAGATCCCCACGGCAAGCTGGCCAACAAGACTAGCCTCATCTACTGAGCTCTGGCTCTGACTGAGAGACCCTGAGGACTGTAAGGTGGAAGAGCTACTGAGGATGATTCCTGACATGGACCTCAAGCCTCCACAAGTACAAGTACACATACATATGCCTGCATACATATGTGTGTCCATGTATGCGAGTGTACACACACACACACACACAATGGGAGGAAAAACTAAAAAGAGAAGCTGGAAAGATGGCTTATCGGTTAAGAGCACCGACTGCTCTTCCAGAGGAACCAGGTTCGATTCTCAGCACCCACATGGCAGCTCACAATCCTCTTTACCTCCAGTTCCATGGGATCTAATCCTGACCTCCATGGGCACCAGGTACACACAGTGCATAGACATATATGCAGGGGGTAAAACAACCATGAACACACATTAAATAAATGAAAATTAATTTAAAAAAATAAAGCTGGGCATGATAGTGCATGCCTTTAATCCCAGCACTCAGGGGGCATGGGTAGGTGGATCTATGTGAGTTCCAGGACAGCTAAGGCCACACAAAGAAACCCTGTCTAGAAAAAAAATTTTAAAAGACCAGTTGCCCTGGTAACAGAAGGCTCAGTTTTTCTTAGTTCAGTAACCCTAAATAAACAATTGCCTTCCCCCAGGCACTTCATCTGCATGGCGGGAGAGAGCTTGGTCTAGCCAGCTGTTCACAGAAGCTGCATTAGACCAGTTTCACTCTACAGTAAGCGCTTGCTGGATTCACATAAGGCTTCTTCCTTTCTTGGTTGCCAGAAAGTCAGGAAACACTGCGCCATGACCCATCACCTGTGCCAGTCACACTGTGGGCTTCCCTTCTTGCAGCATAGGCCATGAAGTGGGGGTTTGGCATGCCTGAGGTCTGACCTGGTACTAACATCGGTTAGACAGTCAGGGATTCTGTGTGACCTAAGACTGTGTGGCCCTTCATTGCCTGCTGCTGTCATTGTTGTTGTCTTTCTATTTTGCAACCACCGTAAATTCATTTGCACGTATAGTAAATAATTCCCTGTGTACCTTTCATGAGGTTGTACCTAAGGTGACATCGAGCACCACTGTGGTCCAACCTGTCAGTCTGGAAGCTGATGGTGAGTCAACCCACCAGCCTTACTCAAATTTCCTCAGTTTACACATGCTTGTGTGTACACCAGTGTCTGTGCTTGAACATGAGTGTGTGAGCGCTAATGTATGTGAGTGTATGTGTTTAACTGTGTGTGCATGAATGTGTGAGCGTGTGCAAATGAGTGTGTGTAAATGTGTGTGCTTGACTGTGTGTACATAAATGTGTGAACATGTGTGAATGAGTGTGTGTCAGAATGTGTGCTTGCCTGTGTGTGTGCGTGGGGTATATGTGTATGAGTGTGTGTGGATGTGTGTGCAGGTATTTTTTTCTTCTATGCAGTGTTACATATATGAACTCATGTAACCCACACAAAGATTCCTCATGCTCTCCTTTCCTACATAGGCTCGCCCCCCCCCCCCCCATCCCTAGCCCCTGGCACATGTTCACACATTTATGTAACACAGTCATTTACGCACGCTCATACATTCATGCACACACAGTTAAACACATACACTCACATACATTAGCCCTCACACACTAATTTCCATCTCTTTAACTTTTCCATTCAAGAATATCAGGTGCTGGGCACACACCTTTAATCCCAGCACTCCGGAGGCAGAGGCAGGTGGGTCTCTGGGAGTTTGGGGCTAGCCTGGTCTACAAATCCAGTTCCAGAACAGCCAGAGCTGTTACACAGAGAAACCCTGTCTTGTAAAATAAAAATAAAATATCATATAGTGAAATCATTCAGGGTGTAATTTTTAGGATTTAATATTTTTATTTATATATGTGTGTGTGCCCATGTTATTGTAAGGTAGCATGTGCCTGCAGAGGCCAGAGGGTCTCAGAGGTTCTGGAAGTAGAGTTACAGACGGTTATGAAATGCCATGTGGGTGCTGGGAATTGAACCTTGGTCCTCTGGAAGAGCAGATAGTGTTCTTAACTGCTGAGCCATCTCTCTAGGTCCATGTATAACTTTTGAAGACTTTTTTTTCATTTAAGCATATTTTTCCTACAGTACACAATTTTTTTCATGAATCAGAAACCAATTTCTTCTTTTTTTCCCATGGGGTATGTTGTTTTAATTTTTGTTTTCCTTTGTTTTGGTTTGGAGTTTACAGTTTAGATTTGGTTGGTTGGTTGGTTGGTTGGTTGGTTGGTTGGTTGGTTTTTCAAGACAGTGTTTTTCTGTAGTTTTGGAGACTGTCTTGGAACTTATTCAGTAGACCAGGCTGGCCTTGAATTCACAGAGATCCGCCTGCCTCTGCCTCCCGAGTGCTGGGATTAAAGGCGTGCACCACCAACGCCCAACCAGCTTGGGGTTTTTTAATTATATGTATTTGTGTATAAGTGTGAGTGCATGCATGTAAATGTGTGTGTGCATGCATGTGAATGTGTGTGTGCATGCATGTGAATGTGTATGCATGCATGTAAAAGTATGTGCATGCATGTAAATGTGTGTGTGCATGCATTGTGTGTATGTAAATTGTGTGCATGCATGTAAATGTGTGTGTCTGCATATGTGTGTGTGCATGCATGTGAATGTGTGTGTCTGCATATGTGAGTGTGCATGCATGTGAATGTGTGTGCATGCATATGAATGTGTGTGTCTGCATATGTGTGTGTGCATGCATATGAATGTGTGTGTCTGCATATGTGTGTGTGCATGCATGTGAATGTGTGTGTCTGCATATGTGAGTGTGCATGCATGTGAATGTGTGTGCATGCATATGAATGTGTGTGTCTGCATATGTGTGTGCATGCATGTGAATGTGTGTGTGCATGCATGTAAATGTGTGTGTCTGCATATGTGTGTGCGCATGCATGTGAATGTGTGTGTCTGCATATGTGTGTGTGCATGCATGTGAATGTGTGTGTCTGCATATGTGTGAGTGCATGCATATGAATGTGTGTGTCTGCATATGTGTGTGCATGCATATGAATGTGTGTGTCTGCATATGTGTGTGCATGCATGTGAATGTGTGTGTCTGCATATGTGTGTGTGCATGCATGTGAATGTGTGTATCTGCATATGTGTGTGTGCATGCATGTGAATGTGTGGACACACATCACATCACAGCACAAGCACTGAAGTCAGAGAACAACCTGGAAGAGTCACTTCCCACTGTGTGGGAGGAGATCAAACTAAGATCACCAGGCTCTGGCAGCAAGTGCTGGGGATAAAGGCATGTGCCACCACTGTCTGGCTCTATAACTCATTTTGTAATTCAGACTGGCCTTAAGTTTACAGCAATCCTCCTGTCTCAACCTCCCAAGTACTAGGCTTTGCCTGTTCCTTTTTTGCTTACTGCTGAGTGACATGCCATAATATGACACATAGCTCAGCATCTTGCCTATGGGAGGATATTTTGAAAGTTTCCATTTTGGGCAATTACAAAGAAAACTACTGCAAATGTCCATATGCAGTTGTGTGTGAGCATAAAATAAATGTCCACTCATGCACGCCTGCCACTTTTAATGCAATGACAGAGGACAAACCAGTATGTTCTTGCCAGAGACACTCTGTCTCACCCACCCAGCACATGTCATTTCCCCTCCTGACAACAGATCCAGGCTTCAGACATAGAGAAGGTGGCAGCAAGGTCCTGTTGGTCTGTTCCACCAAGGTCCCCTCCTGCAGCTACCAGAAGCAGCCAGAGCCCAATATCAAAGGGCTGGAGAAAAGGAAGGCATGGAGTTGCCCATCTAAAACAGCCCCTTTCTGGAAGCTAGAACCCCTCACCCTCGCCCTCAGGGTCAAGTCGAACCATATGTCTTTCAGGGAGCCCAAGGGCAAGATGGAGCTGCAGGACCACCTGGGCCCCCTGGACCACCTGGGGCCCGGGGCCCTCCTGGTGACACTGGGAAAGATGGCCCCAGAGGAGCTCAAGGCCCAGCGGTAAGAGAGGACATGGAACTGGGGCCTCCAAGAGCTGGTCCTATGTTGGCACACACTCTGAACCCTGACCCCAAAAGCAGACTGCAAACCAGCATTATTCCTAGTAGGCCCAACGCCAACCATTACCCAGTGCACACACTCAACTTTAGACCCAACTCTAACCCCAAGCCCACCAGACCCTTATGCCAACCAACCCTTCAATCGGACACAGAGCTGCTTCCTAGCCCTAATCAAGACCTTGACCTCAAATCCTGTCCCATGCTCCAGCTCAGACTATTATCCAGACTCTCCCCCTGAGCCTGACCCCATGCCCAAGTCTAACCCTAAAAGACCCATGGACCCCAACCTTGAGTTGCAAGCTCAGTCTAAATCCTCACCCCAGCTCTGACCAAGATACCCTCAGGGGAGCCCTTTATCTGAAATTCTCCACCAACCCCTATTCCTCTCCCTACCCCTCTCCCTCAATACTAACTACTGTGCCTCAGTTTCTCCCAAAGGCCATGTGAGGCCAGTCCACAGAAAATAGTTCTCTCATCCTAGCCCAGCTCCAATCCATCCTTCCCTCCAGTGCAGGACTTCTACTAGACTGCCACCAGGGGTCCCCATCAGGCAGGTCCTCTCAATTGGCTCATCCATCCATTGTCACATTAGGTGCATAACTCCCAAAGCCTCAACCTTCTCATCTGTGAAGTGAGAACAATAACAACCAAGTCTCAGAGTTGAAAGAAGGTGAATTTGGATGCTCTACTTAGAACCCTTGCTCTAAGGGCTCATGTCCTGGCATGAGATTCAGGCTCAGTTAATGTGACATCTTTGGGTCACTCACTGATATTTTCACATACCTCCTTAGGGTCCCAAAGGAGAGCCTGGACAAGATGGCGAGATGGTGAGTGTCCCGGCTGTTTACAAGGAAGCCTCTTTTCCACTGTAATAGCTACTTCCTTCATTGCTATGACAAAATACATGGCAATGAAGACAAAGAAAGAAAGATGGATTTTTGCTCATAGTCTGAGGGTACAGTCCATCATGGTGGGGGACAGCATGGTGGCAGGAGCATGAGGCAGCTGGTCCATCATGGTGGGGATGGCGTGGTGGCAGGAGATGATTGAGGCATGCAATCACAGTGTGTCTACAGTCAGGAAGCAGAGAGTTATGAATGGGTGCTCAGTCACCTCCATTTATCCAGTCCAGAACCCCAGTCCGTGGGGCAGCGTTGCCCACTTTTAGTGGATCGTCCCTCTTCAGCTGAACCTTTCTGGAAATGCCCTCAGAGGCATACCTGGAGGTGTGTTTCCATGGTGATTCTGAACCTATCAAGTTGACAAGATAAACCTTCACACCATCACATAACCACACCAGGATTATGGAGGTGTACATGCTTATGTGCCCATCCCTTTGCTCTGCTCACAGTGGGGATGTGGACGGGCAGTCCCTGCCTGGACAGAGTTCTCGAAGCTACCTTCCTGGGTGAGAGTCACCTGTCACCTTTTGAGCCCTGACACAGCCACTGCTTAAGGCACAAGGAGTCTGTCCTAGAACTTGGCGGAACATCTCTGCTTCTAGCCATGCCTGCCTCTTCCTCTGGGATGTGGTGTCACCCTTGATAAAAGGGAAATGACAAGACAGATCCAGGAGTACTTGGAGAACTCGGTGTTCTTAACCATTGAACCATCTCTCCAAGCCTCATATATAACTTTCAGAATGACTTTTCCCCCACATTTAGCACAGTATCCAAGTTTTTAGATGTGTCAGAATTTTGTTCCTTTTTTTCTTTTGTTTTCTTTTGGAGGTGTGGTTGCTTGGGTTTGGGTTTTTTTTTACATCATTTATTATCATTTTATTGTTTTATGTATATGAATCTTTAGCCTGCATATAAATTTGTGAACCACATGGGTGCCTAGTTCCCTTGGAACCCTGAAGAGGGCTTCAGATCCCTTTGCACTGTTTTGGGGGCTTGTGGGAGTATTGTCGATTGTTTGTTTGTTTGTTTTCTGTGCATTGTTGTTTTGTCTGTGTGAGGATGTCAGATTCCCCTGAAACTAGAGTTAAAGACAATTGTGAGCCACCATGTGGGTGCTGGAAATTGAACCTGGGACCTCTGGAAAAGCATGTGGTGCTCTTAACCACTGAGCCATCTCTCCAACTCCCTGGGTTTTCTTTTTATTTCCTTTAGTTTTGGGTCTTGTTTTTGTTTTCCTTTGTTTTATTTGGGTTTTTTATTTTTATGGTGGGGTGGGGTGGATGTGTGCCTGTATATGTATGTGGACACACAGACACCACACCACCAGCATGGAGGTCAGAGAACAACTTGGAGACATTGATTCTCTCCTCCCACTATGTGGGTTCCAGGGATTAAACTAAGATCATAAGTGTTGGGCAGCAAGTTCCTTTACTGGTTGAGCCATCTCACCAGCCCTTATTTGGATTGTTTGAGACAAGGTCCCATGTAACCCAGACTGGCCCCAAATTCACTATGTAGCCAAGG